ATCTATCTATCTATCTATCTATCTATCTATCTATCTATCTATCTATCATCTATCATCTCTCTCTCTCCGTACCTATCTACCTACCTACCTATTTATGTATCTATCGATCTATCTGTCATCTATCACAAGGGTCTTCAAACTTAGCCAGCTTTAAGACTTGTGGACTTCAACTCCCAGAATTCCTGAGCTAACATGACTGGAGGAGGAATTCTGGGAGTTGGAAGTCCACAAGTCTTAAAGCTGTCAAGTTTGAAGACCCCTGATCATCCATCCATCCACCTACCCACCCACCTACCTACTTAACCTACCTACCTACCTACCTACCACCTACCTACCTACCTACCTACCTACCTACACACACACACACACACACACACACACACACACATATATATATATAAACTGAAAGGGATCCCACCTACGAATCTTCCTCCCTGCATTTTTTCCATGTTTACAACGATATTAAATGTTGCATGATAAAATACGAATGAAAATAAAGACAGTAGGGAAATGGAGAGGGGGGGAAGACAGGGAAAAAACCTGATATTATTCCACCACCCCCCCCCCCGAGGCTGGCAGCCATTACCCACTTGCTTCGGTGATGGAGGTGGAGGAAGTGTCCCACATTCTCTGCGAACTCGTTTCATCCTCATCTGTCCCTTCTTCGTACGGCACGTCTGTTTCCAGAAAACACAAAATATGAGGTTTTTTTTTTCCAACCAGAATTGAATTAACTAGGGGAGTCTACACGAAGGCAGAGAGGCCCTATGAGAGCATCCAAACCTTACTTGGATTTATTAGACTGGGCTGCGCACAGAGTCCTCTTTCCAAAGGGAAATTCCAGACAGACTTTTAGTTATGGCTCTCCAGACCAAGTTACTAGTCCTCAGGGAATCAGCCTTGGTTCCAAAGGAACCATGAAGGAAAAAATGGAAGACCGAGGCTGCGCATTGGGAAGGGAATTAACATTTTGATGGGCCCCATGTATGTTTAATTGTCCCACTGAATAAATTATGCTATTGTTTATCATCCTTGGTCTCGTACGGGCCACTGTTGAATTTTCTCTTCTAGAATGTACAAAAGAAATTGTGATTTTCTTGGGTGAATGGAGCAACATTAGCTGGCAATGCAGAAACATTACTGGGTCCTGAGGGGGACTATAATTGAGGAAAAAGAGGAGAAAGCAACCCAGCTATAAATATATAATTTATCACAAAATGATAGATAGATAGATAGATAGATAGATAGATAGATAGATAGATAGATAGATAGATAGATGATAGATAGATAGATAGATAGATAGATAGATAGATAGATAGATAGATAGATAGATAGATAGATGAGGGGGGAATAAAATCTGCCATTTCCAGCCAATGAGGGGCCATCTGAGAAAACTGGGGCTGGGTGGCTGGATGAAGAGCCAATGAAACAGCGGAGCCCCCCAAAGTGGGTAACCAATCGGCTGTTTTGGCGGGAAACAAAGGGCTATAAAAGGGGCAGCAGGCAAGGGCATCTCTCAGAGAGCTGAAGAGGACGGAGGAGGAAGCAGGAAGGGCAGCCCTGAGGGGCAAAAGAGCTGAATCCCCTCCAAAGGCACCCAGTCACTCCCTGCTGAGCCTCTGAGCAACTGGGGCAGCTGAAGCCCCTGAAGAGGCCAGAAGAGCCAAAGCCCCTCCAGAGGCATCTGGGCTGGAAGCAGAAGAGGCCAGAAGGGCTGGAAGAGGCCAGAGCAGCAGCCCTGAGGGGGAGCCAAAGGGGCAGAAGTCACTCCCGGCTGGGCATCTCGGGCACTTGGAAGCCCCTCCAGGCTGAAGTCTTGAAGAGACCAGAAGGAGCCAAAGAGCTGGAGGTCCAAAGGGGCCAGAGCAGCAGCTCTGTGGGGCCATAGAGCTGAAGCCCCTCCAGAGGCATCTGGGCTGGAGGCTGAGGAGGCCAGAGCAGAAGCCCTGGATGGGGGTGGGAAGAGGCATGAGGGTCCTGAGGGACCAAAGAGCTGGAGGTCCAAAGGGGCCAGAAGGGCCTGAAGAGGCCCAACAAGCAGCCCAGAGGGGCCAAAAGCTTCATCCATCCTTTTTGCTGGAGTCACTGACAAGTGAGCTGGATGTCCGTATAAATTAAATAAAAATATGAATAAATAAGTTGCTGAGGAGGGGGGATAAAATTTTTCTTCGTGGGGAGGAAGAGGAGGAAAGCCAATCTGGGGTGGGGGTGTTGTGGGGAGAAGGGAATGGCTTTCTTTGGGGAGGGGGTTTCTTTTTTTCGAGGAGGGGGGTGTCTGCAATGCAAGCTATTGCAGCAGGGCAGGAGGAAGGCGCGCTCTGCATGTGCCCAGGAGCCTGTCAGCAAGCCAGCACAGGTGGGCGGGGCGCGCACCGATCTCGACGTCGATCTCGTCGAGGCGCAGCTCCTGGCGGAAGAAGAGGCCGGCGGCCTGGCTGTCCTCGGCGCTGGAGCTCATGTTGAGGAAGTGGAGCAGCTGCTCCGTCTCCTCGCCGTCGTTGCGGTTCAGCAGCTCCTCGAAGGGAGACGGGTCGCTGTGGCCCAGCCCGCGCTGCAGCCGCTCGCCCACCCACTGCACCCGCACGTCGTCCATCGCCACCCCCGGGGAGCCGCGCTGGCCGGCCGAACCCGCCCAACCGACGCCCGCACGGTCGCCGGGGCAACGGCGCGCGGGGAGGGCGGGGCGCCAGCGAAACCACGCCCCCTTTTGGTGCGAGCTCCTCCCGCTCCCCCCCTCAAGAGCACGAACTACAGTTCCCGTCATGCATTGCTGTCGGCCCCTCTTTTTCCCTCAGCAGCTGGAAAAAAAACAAAAAAAAACCGAAATGCGACGCTTTTGTGAAAAACATTTTACACTGGAGCAAAAACAACTAAACAGAAAAAGCACTCTGCACATGCCCTTCAGGCAGGGTACAGGTTTCAAGCTCAAGATTTTAGGGCTGGCCTTTACCCCCAACCCCTAAAACTAGCCTATCTTGAAGTATTCATGGCCCTCCCACATATTTGCAAAAAAATGTTAAAAAAAAAAATAACGGGCAGAATGGCCTTTAATTAAAAATCATGTTATTTCACACACAGTATGTCAATGGGTTTCCTGTCATCATTTTAAATGATTCAATAAATACTTCTAAAAAAAATTACATTAAAACTTATTATTTTTTTAGCCTGGTTAGTATTTATAAATATGTGCCCTATATAAAAAAAAGTTCTGTGTTGTGGTTAAAAGCGGGAAGGGGTTGCCAAACACAGGTCTCAACCACCTACAGCTTGACCTTGGCTCCCTGCCGGCATAAAATGGTGGTCCCCAAACTCCTCAGCTCCTTAAACCGTGTGAAGTTTCCATCCTCATCCTCTTGACCCTGGGATGATCCCATCCTCCCCTGAGGGTCAACGTTGACCATCCCAGAGAACCTGGTTGAGCCTCACTCTCTGCTCATGGGATGGACAGATATCCATCCTATCAATCGATGATGGGCGAACGGTGGTTTACCCCAAACTCCAATGCCCATCATCCCCCGATGCACCCAGGTAGATCTCTTTCCCCCTAAGCAAACAGCCCCTTCTTTGCAAACCCCAATTCCACCGGAAAACCCAGTCTCCAAACAGCTTTTATTGAAGAGGATTAGATTCCATTGGCACTTATAAAAGTATTTACAGTAAAATACCTCCTCTTTAATACATGAAAAAAAACAAAAACCTAGCAAACCCACTCTTTAAGAGGTATCTTCTTCATCGTGAAAGAACAAGTGTATTTTAACAGAAAATTGGCTTCAGGGTCACATTAAACAGGATTTTTGCAAGTGTTGTGGAAAAAGTGTGCACAGTATCACAAGTAAAACAGCCTGGATTAATGCAGGTGGTTGTTGTTGTGGCAAAGGTGGTAGACCAGGAGTGTCTAACCTCTGCAGCTTTTAAGACCTGTGGACTTCAATTCCCAGAAGCATGGCTGGATAATGGTTTCTGGGAGTTGAAGTCCACAAGTCTTAAACTGCCCAAAGTTGGACACCCATGCTGGAAACCTGCCAGACAGAAAAACATCTTATTTATCCCGGGAAGGCTTTCAGGATTTCACCCACAGTAGAAGCTCTGCTGGATTTATCAGAACTTTCAGAATAATTTCACACAGTGATTCCAGGCTTCGGAAAGGAAACTTTCATATTGCCTTTAATGCATCTTGTAAAAAAGAAGAACAGGAGAGAAAAAAAGCAGAATCCAATGTTTCTATGTCCCTCTGGGAGTGTCAAATAGTTTTTCAATCTCTCTTCTATTTGGAATTGTAAAAAAAAGAGAGTGGAAGAGAGAGAAAAATAATAGAGCCGGGCATTTTTATGACGCTTTGTGAGCCTGTTTTTCAATTTCTATTGAAAATGTGCAAAAAGTCACACCCTGAACCTATATTTGAAGCCCATGTTTTGGATCAAGAGAAAAATCATAGTCGTTTCTAGAAATACGCAATTTTATTCCTAGTGGCTGTCACCAAATTCCAGAAATATTAGTGACGAGGATCAGAGGAATTAATTATCAGAGGAATAATCTCATGCGTCTCGATGACTGATTAATGCTCCCTCTTAAAAAAAAGAAGAAAAAAATTCAAAGGGGCTTCGTCCTAAGGAATTATGCGAAAAACTACTCTTGAAAGATTTTGTTAGAGAAAATAAATAGTTCTTGAAAACAGCTACAGCATGTCCAGAAGCAGCAATCAAATAGTTCTAGTCAGTTTCAAAAATTAACCTAAAAGTGCTTATGAAAGGAAGAAAATACTTGGCGTTCAAAAAGGTCCCATATTTGCGAAGTCCAAGCAAGAGACGCCAAGAGTCTTTATAAAAAATATTTGGCTGTGTTTTAAGGCAAAATCAGTGAGGGTCTTTGCTGTAAGGGAGCCGAACAAGGAAGACGTCAGCATACATGATTATTTTCAAACCACGCCCAACCGATTTACTGCCAAGAACAGCCAGATTTATGCGATGTATCTATCCAAATGTAAAGAAATGTCTTGAAAGGAAAAAGGGGTGAACTTGTAGCCGTCGCCTATGTAAAACTTGTTCTGGAATTCCACCCTGAAATAAGGAAAATAAAATAAAATAAAATGAACATCCTAATTCTGACCCCTGAGATATTTGAACTTTGTTGTCAGGATTGCCATCGTGTAGTAAAATGCACTTTTGTTAACAATGGTTCTGAGTGTCTTTCTTTCTAACCAACCAAGTTGGGACCAGCTGACAATTACTTTCAAACTGAGCATTTTTTTTTTCCTCTGATAAAACTTCCATTTCTTAAACATAATATCCAACAGCTAATTTGCTCAGTGCTGTCTAATGCCTGTGTGTATTAACCCATAAAGTTAACTCATGTAGTTTTATTATTGATCCTTCTTACTACCTTCTTAACTCCCTCCTTTTATTGGTTATTATTATTATTATTATTATTATTATTATTATTATTATTATTATTATTATTTCACAAAAAACAACAGTATACACAGCAAACGAGATGACTATGCTGGGTTTCGTATCACAAATCACTAGTCGAACATTTCCCAAGCATTTAGGACTGCGTGATGTATCGGCGGATTATGCGAGCAGATCCCAGTAAGGTGGCCCTCTGCAGCTGACCAGTGGTGATCTTGTCAGTGCCAATTTATTTTAAATGCTTGCCTAGGTCTTCAGGCACAGCACCCAGTGTGCTGAGTACCATTGGAACCACCTGCACTGGTCTATGCCAGTCTCTGCAGTTTGATTCTCAAGTCCTGATATTGGGTGACTTTTTCATGTTGTTTCTCGTTGATTCTGCTGTCACCAGGTATGGCAATGTCGATGATCCACACTTTTTTATTATTATTTATTTTATTATGTTTATAATAATAATTATAATAATTGTAATAATTATTATAATATAAAAAATTATTGTTGTTGTTGTTATGATGTTGCTTTGCATGTACACTGAGAGCTTTTGTACTAGAGACAAATTCCTTGTGTATCTAACCACATTGGGCCAAATAAAGAATTCAATTCGGTTCAATCTAAAAGTCTCAAAAACTTTGGACTAGAAACCTGACTAGGAGGGTTAAAACGAAGCCACCTACCAATGGAGCCGTACGGCGTGCAGGAAAGCGGAGAGGCCCTCCATGACCAGGAGAATGAACACGGTGAGAACCATGAATAAGGCTGAAAGGGGGACCAAGAGGAAGATCCCGTAGGCTGCATCCATGTGAAGGCCAACCTTCATGACCATTGCCCAGAGCACTTCTGACAACTCTAAATAGGAGACAGGCAGAGACACATGCATATGTCATTCAAAAGCCCATCCTGCCTTACCGGATGTGCGAGACCCAATAACCCCCTTGGTATTAATGACTGAAAATGCCACCATTTGCTTGAGACGGGACGATCGTTTGTCTGAAATGGCACAGGGCTAAGCGGGCGGATTTGACTAGGTCCCTTCCCAACCCTGTTATTCTGATGCAACAATTAACAACCACCAGTTGCCAAGATCATTTCTCTTTCCTGGTCTTCTTTCTTTCCATTTTTAAAGCAAAATACAGGTGGTCCTTGATTTCCCACTACTCGTTTACCGACTGTTCAAAGGTACAATGGCACCGGGGGGAAAATGTTACACCCTCGTGCTCACCGCCATTGTGACATCTTCATGGTCACGTGATCAAAATTTGAGCACCTGCGCCGTGCATTACTTGACATTAAAATAAGGCCCAGCTGGCACTCATGGCAAAACTTGTTATTTATTTATTGGACATTATTGGTTATTGATCGTTCAAATCCCACGAAATACTTACGGGCATGGGCTAAACTGAGCGCCCAGAGCCTCAGGTAGGAAGCGGTGTTGGAGATGCATCCCAAACAGTATTCAATCGTCTGGATGGCCTGTTCCATCAACGCAGACGCAAAGCTAAACTAAAAGAGACGGCGTGTCAAGTGGGACTTGCAGCCCGGGTGCGAATTAAAAAACCCATAACCTTCAATGTTGGGCCTGTGGCTTTGGGGAGGTTGATCACTTGGTAAGCAAGCAGCTGCTGAAGCTGAATAGATCACGTTTTTCTTTCATTCCCTTATTCACCGCTACTCCTCGGCTTACAGCGGTCTGTTTAGGGACCTAATGGCACTGAAAAATGGGACCTTAGGACCGTTTTGTCACAATGAGTGACCTTCGCAGCATCCCCTTGGTCACGTGATCAACACCGAGAGGCTTTGGAACGGGTTCCTGTTTATGACGGTTGCATTTCCTGCAAGTCACATGATCCCCTTTTGCGACCTTCTGACAAGCAAAGCCAAGGGGGAAGCCAGGTTCACTTAACAACCGTGTTGCTAACTTACCACCTGCACCGATTTGCTTAACAACCATGGCAAGAAAGACCGTGAAACAGGGAAAAGCTCACGTAACAACTGTCTCACTTAACAACAGAGATGTTGGGCTCCAATTGCAATTGTAAGTTGAGGACTACCTGTATTTAATTGTATAGGTCTACATAGCAGGCTTGAGATGCAATAAAACAGATCGAAACAACTAAATTAAAAGATTTTTTTTAAAAAAGAACACGATACTGAAAAGACTCGCAGTGCCCACCTCTTCCTTGTCCTCAGTCTTATGCCTGTTGTTCAAAGGGCTGGTCCCCTCTTCCATTTCACAAGTTGTCAAGAGGGAAATCTCTTCTTCGCTCTCCTTCCGTACCAAGCGATAGCCTTTCTGGAGGTTGGGGGGGAAATGGTGCGTGGTTTTAGGAATATCTCTGAAGTGGATTCGTGTTTTTCCAACATCTTTCAGCAAACACTTCTTTTTAAATGTCTCCCAATCCTGCCCCGAAACATCTTAAGGGCCACATCGAACCACAAGGTTAAGGCACCACAAAACACACAACGTGCTTCAGGGAATTGTAGCCAGGGGTTAAGCCTATGCAAAGCATCTTTCCCTTCAAATAGAACATTCTTTCCCCCCTCTTTATCAATTATATTGGAGGCTAGCAGAACTGTATTTGCTCAAAATTGGAAAAATGAAAACGCTCCGATGGAGGAGGAGGTGATTAAAATATTGGAATTAATAAAACAAAGTCAAATAAAAAGGTATGACAGAAACTATATGTAAGAGTTGTAATATATAATTAGATGACACTTTGTATTATATGTTTAAGGTAACAATCGCGAATGAATATTTTACACAATTTGAGAAATGTCAGATTGAGTGAACACTGTTTTGCTTAAGTTGCGAAAAGCGGAAAGTTTGATTTTATTGTATTTGTATAAATTTGTTTAATAAAGTATTTTTATATTAAAAAAAAGAAAATACTGGAATGTGCAGAAATGAGTAGATTAACATTGGCAATTAGAGAACAGGAAGAAATTGAGTATTATAAGATTTAGGATTTATTTTATGGATGGTTGGAAAATAAAGTAAAAAAATTAAATGACGCTGTAAGAATAACATACCATGCTATATAATGTTGAATAGGCTATAATATGAATGTAAACTTAGTTAAGAAATGTATACAAATATTAATATGTGCACAGGATATATGTACTCAGATGACACACTGTATAACTGAAAGATGGTTTTATTTGTTATTTTTCTTATAAAAATAACATTGTTAAAAAAAAATTATGCTGGAGGCTCTGCTGATTGAGAGTGTCCTGGCATGCTGCAGGATGCAATAAAAAAAATTGTTAAGGAAAAAAAAATATACAATTTACTTTCCTTTTACTTACTCTGTAGGAGCCAAAGCTTTGGCTGCCATTGCTCAACCAGTACAAATAAAGCGGTTTTCCAAAAAACAGAACGAGGACAGAAAGCACGGCCACGACTAACAGACATTTCTGAACGATCATCTGTTTCGAAAGAGAGGAAGCAAAATTACACGGCTGGTTTTTGAGGTGGTCTACAATTTTGGTTAGAAACTTCAAACAAGAAAAAAGGCCCCTCGGAAGTTCTCTGCTGAATAAGGATTCTACAACTTTATTGGGCTAAATACCAACCTGGCTAGTTTTCTTTTTTTTTAAATCTGTGTTTCATATTTTAGCAGTTTTGACAAGGCCGCAATGTTTTCAGTGGTTTGCAAAAAGCACTTGTCTCAAAAATTTTTTAACACATTTGTGTCCCAAAGCAATCGACAAAGCTCTCCTATATCATCAATTTTCTACTGAACTGTGTTAGATTTCTAAGAAGCTTAAGCCAGCCAACAGGGAAGCCTGAAAATCTGCATTTTTAAACATTATGCCTAAATTTGTAGCGAGTCCCTAGGTTTAGGTGACTTCTGATACAACACTTCAATTATTTCTTAACAAGAGTGTATAAAATTCAGGCTCAAGTCTCCAACAATTTAAGAGTTATTCGACTCTTCTTGCAGCTGTTTTAATTTACTTCCATTTAAGGCTGACTTATTTCAACAGAAGATAAAAGTGTTTAAAAACAGAGAGAATTCAGATCTGTGGACCTTTCAGTTCTAAGGATGACCCACCTGCCCTGAGAAAAGGACCTGGTTCTTGTTATCATGGAACAGAAACATGTTAATAAACTGAAGCAGGATACTGGGAGCAGAACTCGAATTCTCAGCGCTGTAAGCCAGCCATTTAAAGATGATCATGAACACCAGGTATCCAAAAATGGACAGAATGAACAGAAGTTGAGGAATGAACACTAAGTAAATGTTGTACATCTTCCTGAAATGCCTGAAAGAAGAAAAGGAAGAAAGAGTGACTTTATTTTTTGTTTTAATTTAAAAAAAAAAACGCTCTTTGTATGACTCTTAATTCAGGGTAGAGTCAGGGCGACCGGATGGAGCTGAGCGTTTACTGGCCGGATGCCCTTCCTGACGCAGAGTTCACAGCAGATATTTTTTCTCTGCCCTCTAGGAGAGAAACATCTGCCACTCCCTAGGACTGAACTCTCAACATTCCCAGTGGAAGGAAGAGTGTCTTCACCACGAGACCACCACGCCATTGGTGTTTTTCTTAGGTGTTTCATTTCAATAATGAGTTTTGCAGAGCATTCATAGAAAAATTGCCTGCTTATTTTAACAGCGCTGAGAATGTCAATTCTCAGAAGTGTTATTCTACGACCGCCAGTGGTCCCAGGGGGATCAGTGGCTGGGATAACTGGAGATGGTGGAAAAAGTAATGCAAACAGGTTTGAATGGCACCAAAAGCCTTAAAAAGGGGAAGCACTTCATCCGGAAAAAGAGAAAAAGAAGTTTACTTTATGAAACTGCATTTATTTTGCAATTTATTTGGTGCCCAACTTATGTCAAAAGGCACAGCAATGGCCCCCATCATTACTGCTCATCCTGGCCATTACTCACACGTAGTTGAAGCCCCCCAGGATAATCCCAAAGACCATGTGCACCATTCCAATGATGACGGACATTTTCATTTTGAAGGAATTGAGGAAGCTGAGACGGTTGCTTGCAAGGCTCCATATCTGGAAGAGAGACAGACAGCCTTAAGGAAAGATTCAGCCCAGAATACAAGGAGCCCTCGACTTACAACAGTTCGCTTAGTGACCTTCCGAAGTTACAACAGCACTGAAAAAAGTGACTTATGGCTGTTTTTCACATTTGTGACCTTTGCAGCATTTTCATTCGGATGCTGACTCACATTTATGACGGTTGCAGTGTTTCCCGGGGTCACATTATCCCCTTTTGCGACCTTCTGACAAGCCAACAAGGAAGCCAGATTCACTTAATGACCCTGTTGCTAATTTAACAACTGCAGGGATTCACTTAGCGAACATGGCAAGAAAAGCCGTAAAATGGGGCAAAACTCACTTAACACATGTCTCGCTTAGCAACATAAATTTGAGGGCTCAATGGCGGTTGTTCAAGTCGAGGACTCCCCTGTACAAAGGGCACTATTTCCAATTGGTGGAGCAGAGTTCAAACAATCGCAACGTTTAACGACGACTTTTGCTGTTCCTATTATACGGTGGTGAAGTCAAGGCCTCCCTGTGTCCTGCACGCAACAGCCCCAGAGACAATTCAATGGCAATCCACAGGCGGAGGGCGGGCCGTAATTCTCTGGAGCTGTATCAGAGCCTCATAAATTCTGTCTTGACAGACAGCAGCGGCTCAAGGGAAGCCACTCACCGGATCTATGCCGAAAGGATACGGGCCGGTGAAGACGCCAGTCGCATTTGGATTCAGAGCCACAAACGGATTCGTCAAGTCTGCCTTGCTAGAACAATTTCAAAAGCGAAAGAAAACACACACAAACAGAATTGGAGGTTGAGCAGAGACATTCTGAGCACCTGAACTGTCTGATCGCAGTTAGTCCGCTTACACAGACAGAGTCAGGGCGGGCAACTCTGGCAATTTTACGACCTGTGGTGTGCAACTCCCAGAATTCCCCAGCCAGCCATGCTGTCCCAGGAATTCTGGGAGTTGCAGTCCAAAGTCCACACGTCGTGAAGCTGTCACTGTTGCCCACAACAATTGAGAGCCATTTCAGAAGACCTTAAGTGAACCGCCCACTCGGAGCAGACCTCCGCAGCAAAGAATGAAGAGCTAGTTAGCAGACTTGACTCTTCAAACCTTTCTGGATAAAGAGGCAGCTCAGTGATTGTCTAGAAGCGAAACCCAACATAGGTTCACAGCCACAACTTACCTCCAATCCATCCCAGGCATTTGTGAAACATGCCATCCTGAGCTGAACATGACCAAAGATTTGGAAAAACAGTCATTGTAGATCAGGCCGGTATAGATGGAGAACAATCCCATCAGCATGATGATGTATCGTCCTTGAAAAATCATCTTCATCATCTGTGGACAGGAGGAGAGAGGCTTCATGTCACCAAAGGTAGCTCGAAGACGGGCATCTTCCTTACAAGAGAATCTATGCAGCTCAGGTCTGAACTGGTGCTCTCTGACGTTTCATGACCTAGCTAGGTAATGTCATCAGTGCTATGTACAAATGGCTTTGCCCTGTCAAGTTTTGGTGGGCTTGTTATATTCTTCTTAGTAGTTCCTTGATTAGACCATTTACTGTTTGTCTCAGTTGGCAGTTCCTTGATTGGGGCATTACAATAAACTTGATTTGTGGGTCATGCAACATCTACAAGAAAACCACCAAACTCAAGAAAGCACCAAAGACCCCATGTTCTTCCTTCCTTATAGGTACAACGGTGAAAAATCAGGATTTCAAGCAACAAATGAACCCAAAGGGCACCAGCCACACACAAGAGTCCAGGTTTTCCATACCTCGTCTTGCGACCTCTTAAGCTTGGGGTGTTTCTCAAACAAAATCATGACCAGCGCAAAGAGGAACATCAGGAAGCCGTGTCCGCAGTCTCCAAACATCACGGCGAACAAGAAGGGGAAGGTGATGATGGTGAAGAGAGCTGTGAAATTCACACGTGTTTATTTATTTATTGCACTTCTGTGCTGCCAAGGGATTCTTCCCCGGTGCCCGGCTGGCTGGGGAGTTCTGGGGGTTGAAGCCCACAAGCCTTAATAGTTGCCAAGATTGGACACTTCTGCTTTACAAGGAATCACAGCGACTCTTTCGCTAACACAAAACCCACTTGAGTTCACAAGGCCGCAGGAAAGGGAAGGGAGGCCAGAGGGCACGGGTGGAAAAGAGCCTGGTTTAGGATTTACACACCCAGTTGGCTATTTTTCAAAGAGACTCACCAGGATTGACCTCCCTGTAGTTGCCAATCCCGTACACATCAACGATGTCCTGGAATCCCGAGGTGAATTTGTTGGTCCGGATCAAAGTCGGAGGAGTTTCTTTTGTCGGAATGGTGTTCATGAAGGAAGGGACAGAAGCGCCGCTCACTCTCTGGTGGCAGAAGTGAAAGAAACCCGTATAATTATGCGCACGGTGTCCACTTTAACGCTCTACGTAGGATGGGGGGAGCCTTCCCCCAAAAGAGCTCAAGCAGGGATGGTGTCAACTCTGAAGCTGGGCTGACAGAAGTCATTTTTGTCCACTTCAGTGTTGCCACACTGGAGCTGAGGGCTCAGGGACTGGGGGATTTTAGATAGAGGCGTTTTTGTAGCCAAAGCAAAATACTTTCTCTTGGGAACCAAGGACATTCTCACTCCCGGTCGGAAGAAGGCAGAGTGATGCCACCCAGTTGTTGGACTGCACGGTGATTGGACCATGGGACTGATTGTTTATGAGAAAGTAGAAAGGCTTTTACTTTTAATGAGGTGAAAACCGCGATAGCTTTCAGAGTCGGTTTTCACCAGATTTGTGCCAATATGATATTTCCAAATAAAAGCAATGTTTGAGGGAATGTCTCTTGCTGGTCACATCTACCCGACCCACCAGAGCAGGGAGGCAGGGGATGTTGAGGGTCCCATCCCCGAGGGAGATATACCTGGTGGGACCCAGAAGAAGGGCCTTTTCTGTGATGGCTCCCTCTCTCTGGAACATCATCCCCCTCAGAGATTAGAATCCCCCCCGTCTAATACTCTTCCGGAAGGCACTGAAGACCTGGTTCTGCCAGTCGGCCTGGGGAGCTCAGAGCGCGATGGAGTCCATCAAATGACTCTTGTGATCTGCTGTCATCGGGGTGGGAGGTGGGTGGGAGTTGGGTGTGTGTGATTTTTTATTTTTTATTTATTTTCCCCAGATTTTGTTCTATTGTACTTTATTAATTTGATTCTTTTTGTTAGTTTTTTTAAAAAAAATATGGTTTTACATTCTGTAAGCCGCCTCGAGTCGCCATGGGCGAACAGGCGGCAATATGAATTCAATAAATACAATACATTCAGCTGCCTCGGAGCCTTCCTTGCAGTGGACCTATTACTTGGACCCCTGGCGAGTGAAGCAGCGATGGCTGGACTTACGGAGCCTTCATCCAACGCGCGGCGCATGTTGGGCAGGTCTGCCAGGGGGCACCAGACCTCCGCAATCAGGCATTTGTTGGTGACGTCAAAGCTGCAGAGATTCAGCACGTGGTAAATGGCTTTCATCTTCTTCACCTGAACGTCCCAGGTGTAGATCGATTCAGAAGCTTTGCACAGGACTTGCCGCAAATAATCTTCTGTTTTGTGCAACACCTTTGGGGGTTTAATTTAAAAAAAGAGACATATTTAGTAGAAAAAGCAATGGTTATCCAAAAGGGAGCACTGGCCGGGCGGAGTAACATTTAAAGTCATTTTTCTTTTCTTTTATTCTGAGGGATTTGCTTGTTAGCTTCGCGGTGCCCAGCTGGCAGCGGATCAAACAACCTGAAAGAAAAACTATTTTCCTGCTGCAAGAAACAAAAGTTCCTTAATCTTAACACAGGCAAAAATAAGAGTCCTGAAAACAGTGCTATGCCTGGATATCCCCAGGACATTAACAAAAAAAAATCCTAAGAAAAGAGAACAAATCCATTTTAGAGAATGCAAATATTATCTTCACAGGCCTTGGGGACGAAAGCTCAAAACAAATACGCTGCACAGCTATGCTCGTTCTGTGAAACTACCGGCCTCTTCTGCGGAAGAAACCACAAAGTTGGAGCGTGACCGCAACTTTCAACTCACAATATGGAGATCCTGGATGCGAACTTGGAGCCCTTCCATCACTGCTCGCCGTTCCGCTGGAGTGCTGGGATAGGGGTAGAGGTGACAGTGGTAGCTGTGACACACACACATAAAAAAAAGCCATTGAAACAGCCAACCAACCTAATCTTGCAAAAACAGGACCTTGCTTTAGACTGCAACTAACCGTTTTACTATACACGCAGTCCTTGACTAACAGCCGTTCATTTAGTGACCAAAGTTACCACGGCACTAGCAAAAGTGACTTATGACCATTTTTTTCCACGATTACTGCAGCATCCCTGCGGTCACATGATCAAAATTTGGACACTTGGCAACTGATTCATATTTACAAAGGGCAGGGGTCTCCAACCTTGGCCACTTGAAGACTTGTGGACTTCAACTCCCAGAGTTCCTGAGGAACTCTGGGAGTTGAAGTGCACAAATCTTCAAGTTGCCAAGGTTGGAGACCCCTGTCCTAGGGGATCACGTGATCCCCTTTTGCGACCTTCTGCTGAGCAAAGTCAATGGGGAAGCCAGGTTCACTTAACAACCGGGTTACTAACAACTGTGGGAAGGTCGTAAAGAGGCAAATCTCGCTCGATATCTGTCTAACTCAGCAACAGAAATGTTGGTCTTGACTGCGGTCTTGAGTCAAGGACTAGCTTTATTGATCCAAAAATGTTTGGGTGAATGAATCATGCTTAGGCTTCTCCTTCACATGTCCTCCGATTCCTCCGAGGAGTTTTTTTTAAATGCATTTTGAACAACTTCCTTTGCCTTTTACTTTTCAGAGCATGGCCTTAAAAATACGAGGGGGGGGGGAAACACGAGGGAGAAACGTGGTTCGTCCTTACCAGTCACATATTTTCTTCACCTTTTGGCCAATTTGTTCCCCCCAGTAGGATATCAAGAACACAAAGCACTTGGTCAGTTCTCCCTGCAAAACAAACAGGAATGGCTCACGTCAGCTTTGATTGACAGGGCCCGGCTGCCCTTTCTCAACCGGGTCGCCTTACTTACTGTATCAGGATCCTCCAAGCATTCTTCCACTTCAGAGTAAGAAACAATTGTGTTTCCTCTGCACACCCGCCAGAGCATTTTTTCAAACGCTTCAACTTTTGCTCGGTTAACTAAGCCGGATATAAATCTACATTTTAAAAAAAGCACCATTAAAATAATCTCACCAATACAGGGAACTGTGAGAAACATGATTCATGTTACCTACAGACCATTATGCTTCATTGTTACACCGCTGGATGCTTCAAAACAACCCAAATTAATTTTTAATGCAAAAAATTCATCGTCCCCATTATTTGCTAAGACTACCTGTATAAAATGAGGCTAAAGATGCTTTCCGTGGCTATTCAACACCCTGTTTGGTTACTTACCCAAGTTTGGCCTCGAGTCTGTGCATACAATTATACTCCAACAAAGGATCATGATCAAAAGATGGGAATTCTTCATAACTGCTCTGTATGCAGGACTCAAGCTAAAATAAAGACCGTGAAAATTGTACATCAAATGAAAAGAAAGCAAGACACAGACACAGACACACAGAAGACTGGAAACAAGGTATTTCTTGTTTCTGATTGTTCTAGTTTATGATTATCACTTGTTTAAGATGGGTGATCATACATATTTTTAAAGTCAGTAAAATACCTCCGTAGATCTTTGGATGAAGGACTGAGTGACCTTCAGCAGGTGGGTGTATTCTGTCAGCTCCAAAAGGTTTTTTCTCAACTTCTCCTTGTTTCTGGTCACTTCTCTCAACTCCACCTCCAGCTTCTGAAGTTGCTCCTACGAGAGAGAAAAAAAACAGCACCTTCTCACTGTGGTGATTTCTAACAGAAGAGTCGTTCTACCAAGAAGAAACCCAGACCGTTTAACAACAGACAGTGGAAATGCGGAGCTGTAAGGATCTTAAAGTTGGTCTAAAGCAGCGTTTCTCAACCTTGACACATTTAAAAGAGGCCTGGATCTTAACTCCCAGAATTCCCCAGCCAGCTGCCAAGGTTGAGAAACACTGGCCTAAAGAATTCAAGAAACAGATTTTCTGTCATCTCAGAACATCACGAGATCCCCATTTCTACAAATTACCTGGATTTCCAACATCTGTTTAAGTGGAGGGGCAGAAGGGGTAATATTTCCTTCCGGAAGAGGGATGTCTGCTTTCTTTATTTCCTGTACTAGGTATCCTGGAAAAATGAAAAATGATTTCGGGTAAAGCAAGTGGCTTTAAAAGATTATGTTCTGCTACATTCCTCTGGGAAGTGTATATATCACAAAGGATATTACACATATCGAAGGCACTCTTAAAATCAAGCTTCATCAGTTTTCTCTATTGTATTATGAGAATTTACATACTCATTCTCTGAATTTTAAATCAAACCCCAGCATGAAGAAACAACCAGTGCAAGGTGCCCAAAAGATCTCCAAACCTCCTAACTACCACTTGTAATCCTCCTAAATTTGACAGAACATCCAATGCAGAAATGTAGCAAAAAATCAAGTGGATTGCAATATTCTTCCAAGCTTTAAATCAATAAGGATTCCATTCCCTTTTCTGTTCGAAATAACAAACCTGTGATATATATTTCACAATGGGTAAAACTTTACCTAAGAGGATCACGGTTGCCTGTCCTTTCACGTTCTCCAAACTTACCCAATATCCTTTCCATTTCTTCACACTTCTTCACTTCTCCCACATATTTCCGCTGGAACAAACTTGTATTGGAGTTGAGCTGGAAAGGCAAATGTTTTTTTTTTTAACTGTTCCTAAGAGAAATGTCTATTGTCTAAAGATTTAAGTTCAATTCCAAAGAGAAAAAAAGCTGGCTCATGACTATGCACTAAGGTTCTTTTAACCATCACAATAGTTAAACACATTGGAGGCTCCCAAGAAGAGCCTCCAAGAGAGGTTGGGGGGCTACAAGGGACCTATTCTGACCCAGGCTTTCTGAGACCATAATTAAGCACACGCTTAGTTAAAACAACTCTTGTTTTATTGCAACGCTGGGAATTATGTTCATTCCCGGCCTGTAATGAGTCCCAAACAGTCCCTCGAGATAAACACCCACCTTTCTCTCCTTTGAATAGCCGCCAACAACTAAAGTGCCAAATAAACTATAAAAAGCCAACTGAAGTACAAAGTCCACACAGAGCTTCAAGGTTTAATCTGAACAGAGCGAACAACATTGCTTCCTGCAAAGAGTTCATCATCTAGGCCTGACTTTTATCTCTTATGGGAGGGGCAATCACCTCCCAGCCTTACTCCGGAGTTGCCCCTTTTGTTTCAGCCGTTCTCGCCTTCTAGCAGCTCTGTGCATATGCGCACTGGGAACAGGCTCCCCTTGCTCCTCTTCCTCACTGCTGCCAGACAATGGAGGCTACGGAGTCAGCACCCCACTCCCAGATGCCCCTGGCTCCATCTCTGCATGGGATGCAGGACCCTTGTCCGAGTCCTCTCCAGACTCCCGGACTGGTCCCCTTTCTTCCCCACTGTCCGATTCTGCTGCCGTCTGCACCGGCTGCCGGCGAACCACAACAGGACGCACACGCCCGGCCCTCCCAACCCCCTAAACCCATTTGCCCAGCACTGGGGCTATTTGGGCCTCCCTAGATAAGCCATGAAAGGCAGCTGGGGGATTTGGGGCCAGTCGTCCCCCCCACTCTCTCTCTCTCTCCCTCTCTCTCAGCCTAGCCTACCTCACAGGGTGGTTGTTGTGGGAAAACAGGACTTAGGAGGGACTCTTCATTCTAGTCCCGCCTCATCCATGAAAGGCAGCTGGGGGACTTCTCTGTCACGGCCGGCCCACCTCACAGGGTGGTGGTTGTTGTGAGGAAAAGAGGAGGAGGGGGAAATACGTTCCCCAATACTAGTGGATTTATAGAAGTAAATAAAAAAGGGATAGAAATCGATAAAAATAGGAATAAAAGGGCGGCCCGGCCTTCCTCCCCCCCACCCCGCGGCCACTCACGTCTCTGAAGTGGGCCAGGCCGCGCTCGCCCAGGGCGCTGAGGCACTCGTAGGCCGAGCCGGCCTGCAGGAAGAGCTGCGCCAGGCACATGGCCTCGCTGCGGAAGAGGGAGCCCATGGCGGCTGTCACCGGGGCCCTCGACGCCGCCTGGCCGCCCGCCCGCCTCGCTCGACCTGCCCGACGGCCATGGAGAGAAGGAGGAGGCGGCGCGGAAACCGGCGCTTCCCTCAGCGGAGGAGGCGAGAAGAGACGGCGGGAGCGGCTTCCGGATTTCCGTCCGGAGCTGCACCATTGGGGTGGGGTGGAACCCCCCCTGTCTCGATGGTCTTAATAATGCCAACAAGGGGACACGAGTTTACGATGGAACGGAAGTGCTGGTGCAGAGCGGCAATTATAAGGGGGGGGGGGGGGAAATTGCTAAAGGAGGTGCAGCGACCCCTGGATTCGCCTCCTTTATGACCACTTTCCCGTTATTATTATTTTAATGCAAGGGTCCAACCTGGTCGACTTCAACTCCCAGAATTGCCCCAGCCAGTTAAAGACTTAGAGATGTCGACTCCCAGAATTCCCCATTCCAAGCTGGCTAGGGAATTCTGGGAGTTGGAAGTCCAGAAGTCCTTTTTAAGTTGCCAAAATTGGGACACCCAATAAAGCAGCATGATGTACATCACATTTCGCATTGCGTATGCTTTTCCCTTATTGCTTGTTTTTTTCCTGAAAAATCACAACACCGTTTTCGTTTTGACCATTTTTTATTTTCTCTCTCTCTCCCCCCCCCCTTTTTAGGAAAATATATCTGGGGGGGAAACCCCTTTTTTTTCTCCTTCCATAAAAGATGCATGATTAAAAAAAACGTAAAAAAAAGCCCGATCCAAAAAAAGTCTGTGGGTGATGCGAAGGTTTTTCAGAGCTTCTTCCACAGGCGGAGGATCCCATTCCAAGGACCACTCAGCACCACTGCGAGGAGGACGAAGAAAACCAGCACCAGGCCTTTGGCAAGCGTGTGAGAATAGGGCTCTCCTGAAAAGGGGTGGGAGACAAGGATTTAGAAACAAGGCGACGCAATGAAGAGAGGAAGACAATCCGGACAAGCTTCCGTTAGAATGAAGATATCTCACTGCATAAATCTTCCCAGCCATCCTCTGCCAGAGGTGAATCTCCTTCCCAGCATAAAGAATTTACCAAACTGGAATAGCAATAGCACTTAAGACTTAAAATACCGCTTCACAGTGCTTTTCATCCCTCTCTAAGTGGTTTGCAGAATCAGCCTCCCTACTGAGACCACCCCACCGCCACTTATCCACTCAAAAATTGGGGGGTCAATTAGAAACTAAGCATCTGAAAAGCCAAATGACATTCTTTTCACCTGTGTAGTAGCGGGTCATGGGATAAAAAAGCTCAGGCCAGCAGACGTCGTTCCTCCTGCAGTCATACTCGGTGTAGTTAATTTGAAATCTGGAAAAAGAAAATTAAAAGTTTTCAGGGCAAAGCTGTGCCAGGAAAGTGATTATCGCTTAAAGCAGGGGTGTCAAACTCGATTTTATTGAAGGCCGCATCAGGATTGTATGTGACCTCGGAAGGCCAGAGTGGGCATGGCCAGAGTGGGGGTGGTCAGCTCGACATCACTCGTGTCAGGGGTGCCTGTGGTGGCCCGAGCCCCCTGCCAGAGAAAACAGGCTCCGGAGCTCCGTTTTCGGCTGCAACGGCCTCCTGTAAGTAACCCTCTGCCCATGAAAACAGCTCCAGAGGGATGTGTGCAGCCCACCCGAGTTCTGTTCTGGCTGGCAGAGGCACCGCAGGCCAGTCTTTCGCCGTTTCCAGGGTGGCCCTGTGGGCCAGATCGAATCACCCTGCGGGGCGGATCTGGCCCCCGGGCCTTGAGTTTGACACCCCTGACTTAAAGCCATAGAAAATATCTCTTATACAGGTGGTCCTGGACTTCTGACCATAATTGGGACCTGAACTTCCACAGCCAAGGCAAGGGACTTTTAAGCGAATCGCAGCTGATTTTACAACCCTTCCCCCCCCCCCCATTGTTTTTAACTGAATCACTGCCCTGGTGAAGTAAATCCAGTTTTCCCTTCCTCCTCTGTATGACAGAGCCTGCTGGGAAGGCCGCAAAGGACGATCACACGACTCTTTCCCCTAATAAGTTTCTCTGAAATATCTAGTGGATTTTAAGAAGAGATTGGGCAACCTTTTTGTCTGAATCGGTATAGGGTTTCCTGCCAGAGCAGCGGGTTGGACTACATGACCTCCGAGGTCCCCCCTCCAACTCTTTATTATTCTACTCTATTCCAATAGGGAGGTCTGCAGCCAAGACTTACCTGGTCTTTGGCACTGGGGGCTGAGCAGGTACTTTAATAAACTGCACGGCAGCAGAGATGGGAAGGGAAGTGACGTTCTCTGGACAAGCCAGGGCACAGCGAACCTGCCAGGTTATGGTTGAAAAACTGAAAGAGAGAAGCCTTCACTGGACACGGGAACTGCAGCTGCGATGCAGACAGTCACCAGTCTGTTTTTCGTCAACCTTCTAATGTGAGCAGAGCCATTTTTTTTCTTTTTTAGCCTAGTAATATGATAAAAGAGGGCGACTCTAATCCCTCTAATGATCAGGGCAAAATTTCAGTGGTCCATTAGTGCAGATTTTTTTCCCCCCTTCTAACAAACATCCTGAATGGCAGCAAAAAGTAAAGAGCCGCATAAGCCTGGGACTTCAACTTGGGTGACCGGGGCCCATCGCAGAATTGAGTGAGATGTTGATTCCTCCTGGGGAATTGAAACACACTTTTTGATTGCAACAGGTCAAGCAGTTTATGTTTCAATCCTAAAATCGCAAAACCGTGTCTCGTTCATTTTGGCCGTGTCGTGCGGGGGAATTCACTGGAGAAAGCAATCATGCGGGGAAGAGTTAGCGGTAAAAGGAAACCCGGCCGCCAAAGAATGCGGTGACTGGACACTAGCAAAGCTGACACCAGCCAGAGCACAGAACAACTCAAATTAATGCAAGATCAGATGTGGAGAGATCCGGCCCATAGAACTGCCAAGAGCTGGACACAACTGAATGGATATTTAATCATCATCATATTTCAATCAGAAATAAATTACCCTTCAATCAGAAATAACTCCCTTGTGGAGTCTGGACAACTGAACAGAGCTAAGTGTTTACTGGCCGGATGCCCTTCCTGTCAGCAGGGCAGAGTTTTGTTCAGCAGATATATTCACAGTGTGCCCAGAGAGAGAAATATCTGCCTCTACCTAGGATCGAACTCACAGCCTCCTGATTGTGAGGCGAAAGCTCCACGTCTAGGCCACCGCACCACTAAATAAATTAGAAGTACATGTGGAAAGAGGAATCTTAAATGTGGAGGAAGCCACCGAGGACCGTGAAGAGATCTAAGTTTGGCAAATGCGAGTAAGATTGTACACACCTGAGCTGCACCCCAAGTATCTCTTCTTGAGGGATTCCTTCTATTGCGCCCACATCAGCGGTGATGATCTGAATGTTCAGGTGGGCAGGAACATCAGGACAAATTCCTCTTAAGCTCCCCTCACTTGTGTTTGCACTGGAAGAGGCATTTAAACCTGCAAGCAGAAAAAATGCATAGGCTGAGAAGGTTAACCAACCAAATTGCTCAGCAATTCATCCTTTTTTTTTTGTAAATTTTATTTGAGTTTTCACAAAGAGAAAAAAAATACAAATAAAACATCTTTTTTGAAAGTAGTGTAGTCGCTTCTTGTTGTTTCTCATAGTTCCAAATCTCCATTTCTAAGAATTGAAAAACGAAGCCAAAAGAACCCTTCCCTTCTTGTGCATCTTCTTTGTATTTTTTAAGTTCCATTTTCAATTCATCCAGAAGTGGTGCCATTGTATAAATTTTTAAACAACCACCCGATTGATTTTAGTCATTCAAATATAATAACCAAGAATCCAAAGATCACCAAATAATCCAAATACACGCAAGCTGTTTCTTTTTTGCTCTTTTTTTTTTTCACTTTCTCTTCCTGGGGTTATTATTTAGTTGCAAAGTTTCAGTTAAAATGTATCTTTTAGAAGTCTTGTTGGAGTTTTACTGTAGATTCTTTTTAATTCCAGGCAGTCTCCTCCCTCTTCCAGATCCTGCCCTTATTCTTTTTCTCTCCCTTCCTTTCCCTTTTCACTTTCCTTCGCTGCTTCCGACTCTTCTTTGGGAGCGATGTTATTTTTTGTAAGTTTAAATTCCAGGATACCTTAGTTGTTGCTTTTACAATTTAACCCGGTCAGCCAAAACTTTCACTTCTTATATTCCTCCTGCACATTCTTTTCCGGTCGAGTTCTCCTTTGTGGTGGCCATTTCTGACCACCGCTGCAACCGCCTTCGGGAAAGGGAGTAATGGCCAGCTGAGGAGGAGAGATGCAGCTCTCCTCAACCCTGCTGGTGGTCTCCCCCCTCTTCACCACCTCTACAGGGTGGCTTAGCCCCGAAACCAGCCGGCTCAGGGCGCTCCAGCGGCGAGCCCAGACAGAAACCGCACACGGTCGTGGATTTCTGTCTGTCGCCGAAGCCCTTCAAACTGGAAGTCTGTCCAGCAATTCATCCTTTTCTTTCAACATTAAAAGAGAAAACATGAGCAAACAGTTTTATGAAGACAGGATTGCTTAATTCACTTCACTTTCCCCAAAATAGTTTGACTGATTTACCATATCAATATCCAACTTTAAATTAATTTAGAAGTCCAATTATCTTTTCTACCTGTGGTTCTCCTGTTAACTAGACCATGGTTTTTGTAATTAAAAAAAAAAAGAAAGAGGATCGTAATACTTTTAAACACAAACTAAAAACCGACAATTCAATGGCGGGTTCTAAATTGTGTTACTCACGGAGGACTTCCACCCAGTCGTCTGAGATGTTTCTACGGGCGTTGCCTCTTTTTCCAACGTGGCTCACTTGCACCAAGGAATTCAGTCGTGCAGCAACATCCTCTCTGCAAAGAAACAGGCATGCGGTGTATAAATGAACAATTCATTTTGTTATACTGAAAAGAACAAACACCAGCTTCCAGAAATCAATGTGGATTTCTTAAAGCTTCCTGTATTTCAGTGTAAAATTGGAAGGGCCTCCCTGTTTTAAAATTAAGAAGAAACTAATTTCATCTCACCTCAACTGCGTGCAGTTGTCTTCAAGGCTGATTTCCATTATGCATCCAGAAATGGAATTGAACCCAAACAAAAGAGGGGTCAGGTTTGCTGATGAACACAAGTTCTCACCAACTAAATAATGGAGATAAATCTGGTTGAGCAATTGCTTTTTCAAACTCACGTAGTGCTGTTCTAGTATTTAAACAGAAGGCTCTAGAAATGGACTTTTTCTCTTCTCAGATATCAAACGAATCAAAGCTGCAACTAGAGTACAGCTTTACTTGCAAATGAAGACTCTCTTAAGGGAATATTTTTAAAATTAAAGACTTTGATATTACTTTGCTGGAGCCTCTCACAGAAAAGCAAACATACAAAATAATATTCAAAATTTTTGTTCTTGTCCCTAAGGATAGGAACACTATATTTGCCACGGGTAAAATAAGCACGGAATAAATTTGTAAGTTTCATTTAGCCAAATACAATTCCAATCACTTTTATCCCCCCCTCCACAGAAATATGAGCGAATGAACATTGCAGCAAGAAACAAACGTCTGACGTCATTTTGTTCCTCTTGCAATTCTTATAATATTTGTTATCAAAAAGGACTACCTGGCTTCCAAAGTTTTAGAAAAGTAACAGGAGCCGATGAAGTCAAGTTGGTAGCTCTAACCGGCTTGCCAAGCTGATAACCTAGGTAAATGAAAGAAAATTTTGCAGACTTCAAATATATCCACTTAAGCAATATTGCAAAATATGAGAGCTTGGTGTCGCTAAAGCTAATAGTCTCTCAAATGTCAAATTTTATGCACACCATCCATGGGAGTTGAAGAACTGAGTCAGCGATAGATTGATTTACAACAATTCATTTAGTGACCATTTGATGTTACAATGGCACTGAAAAATGTGACTTTTGACCGTTTTTCACATTTGTGGCTGTTGCAGTTCTAGAATAGGTCAAGCTAGTAAGCAGCTAGTAAGCAGCTAGTAAACAGCTAGTAAGCAGCTAGTAAGTAGCGAACACACTTTTCCTCAAAAAAACTCTTGGCTGCGTGTCAACGGGAGAGGTTGGTTTCTCCATCAGGGGCCAGCTACATAGTCCAGCTTCCAAATGCCACCCCTTCCTCAACAAAATACATGACCAAAAATATACTGAAACATCACCACCACTGACCATCAATCTGTCATTGTCTTCTACACCCAAAAGTCACTTCACCCACCTGGGTTCCCCGAGAATTCCTCCATGTTTGTAGCATTGGCGCTCACAAATGTGACAGTGAATTTCTGTGTTATCGTTTCTGCGAAGACAAAATGTAAAATGGACAAATGTAAACCAGAGAGACAGTGGCTATGTTGACCCTTTTATCCAAATAATTTGAGACGCCTTAGACAGGTTACTGTATCACAGGCAACTGTGGCTTGTTTTAATGATGGTTTCTTCAATGATCATCCCTGGGTTCATGCATCAGAATAAGCCAAAATTCAAATTAAGCCCATCATAAAACGCTTTACGGCAGAGCGCATTAGGAATCCAAGCCATATTACGTTAAGTTTTTAGGGCACTTTTCATGAAATGCTCTTTTCTGCTTCTCTGTTGAAAGCCAGAGAAGTTGAATGGATTTTGGGTTCATTTTTAAGAACCAAAGGCAAGGATGCTTCAGAGCCAATGTGAAAAAAATGAGAGCTGTGACAACCGATTCCAAATTAAACAGGTAATCTTTCATTTGCTGAAAAAACAAATATTGTTAAAAAAATAAAAACTGGATTATAAGAAATATTTTAAAAAAACCTACCTTCTGGACACATTCTTCCATAAAGGACTTTGATCTTCAGCTCTTTTATTCTTTTGCCTTCCCATACAATGATGTAATCTTCAGCAAAGCTCACATTTCTGCATTCTGAACAGAAGGAAAGCTCTCATATAGGTCATATATATGAATTTTTTTATACAAACTTTTCAAAGGATGGGATAGAACTACGCATAAAAAAACTCCCTCAATGCATATTCACCAAGCTCGGCACAAGGGAGCGGAGGAGAACTTCTCTCCTGGTAGGTCACCTCTGGTTTGATGTTATCTGGAAAGGAAAAAAGGGGATTAAAGGCAAAATCAAACTATGATGGAAGCTCTAATACAGGTAGTCCTATTAAGTCCTAAAAACTTAATAAAGTTTTTAAAATATTTTTTTAGTACCTCCAACACCGCTGTTTATTGCGATGGTTGACATGATGCTTTCGGCTTCCTTGCATGTAGCTGCGCATTTGGCTTCAATATTCTGAAGGAAGGAAACTGGAGCGTTTCTTGCACAGCTGCCAGCTATGAATGGCTGGATGACACGAGAAGGATAGGACATCAGGTTTATTTTCAGGTAATTCTTCCTCTCCCCAATTCAGGAAAGGAAAAAATCCCTCTTTAATGTACAGAAAAAAAAAGAAGAAAAAAGAAACCAGACAGTTGTCTTTACCTGTGGAACTGTAAAATAGTCATTGTGAACAGTCAGGATTGGATCTCCTTGCTTATAACCGTTGGACGGTTTTCCTGGGGTGGTTTGCAACGGAAGCATAAAGGAAGACGCCCGGGATGAAGAACTGCAAATAAATGTAATAAATCTATCATCTATTTATACGAAAGAAGATGTGGGAATTCCCAGCCTAGCCCCCCCCCTCAAGCAGACAGACACAAGGCAAACTGAAGTGTCATAATTTGGCTGTCCTTTCTGGAAGGCAGAAAAACCATGATTGTCTTCCCCAGATGAAAACCAGGTGCTACAAATTCATTCTGACCTCATCAACATCAATGGGGAAAAGATAGCAACAAGAAGAACGCTTGGCCTCACACACTTACAGGGACAGAAATATAAAACATGTATAAAATAGAAATGCACATGGAAAGGACAAATCACTAGTACAACTATCTGCTCTTCAAGGTGAAATCATAGGACAATAATTATTCAGGCCAAACGCACGTCCTACAGCCATGACTTGACTGCTTGACGACGGGTGGGCCACAACTCCCAGAATTCCCTAGCCAGCACGAGGAATTCTGGGAGCTGAAGTCCACTCCTCTTCGAGCAGATAGTTGGCAGGCTCATCTAAAGCTTCTTTCACAGTTCCACACTACTCAACCTCTGAGGAGTTTTCATACTTACGTAGAACCATCGTAGAAGTATCCAAGGAAAGGGGAATTATTAAGGGGAGACTGCACACATAGGAAGGGAAACCAGTCAGGGGCCAAGATTCCCAATTTGACTGAGCAGAGCTGGTCAAAAGGTGGATTGACGTCCCCGCCGAACACCCCTTCAAAACAGGAGCCCTCAAAGAGCTGCTTCATCTCTGGGGTACAATCCTGGGGAGGGAAGGGAAAGATGCAGCGCTGGGATCTGCCTGATGCCATTCTAATACGACTGAGTATCCTCACAGACAAATCTTAGTGGAAACAACTCTGTGTGTGACATGCCGAAGATTCTCAACTCAATCTCAGCCCCTGAGAACTGAGAAGAGGGTCTAAGAAATATTTTTACCAGTGACATCAGCCCCTGCTAGGCTATAAAAAAAAAGTTGAGCTAGGTATAAGGACATTTTTAAAGGTTATTGCTTCATAAGAGTCAGAGGTAACGTGGGAAGAGGCCTCTGAATAGAATACGGAATAAGAGAGTTGGAAGGGACCTTGGAGGTCTTCTAGTCCATCCCTCTGCTCAGGCAGGAAACCCTATCCCATTTCAGACAAGTGGCTCTTCTTAAAAGCCTCCAGTGATGGAGAAACCACAACTTTTGGAGGCAAGTTGTGCCACCGACTCATTATTCTCACTATCAGGAAATTTCTCCTTATTTCTACGTTGGATGTTTCCTTGATTAGTTTCTATCTGTTACTCCCAATCCAGAAATCTCATGCCAGCTTTTTCCAACAATGAGCTTTTTTTCCGTGTAATCTATTATTAAACTGTTTGGTTCACACAGCATCTCAAAGAACTAACTGCAGTTAAAGAAGCGGGCCAAGGGTTTCAGGAATGGCAGCAGGTTTTTAGGGCGATGCTTAGAATGAAGAGTGACAGAAATTAAAGGCAGAATTAGTACCTCATCACAACAGCACTGAACATCACAAGCTCCTGCTGTGAGGTTGCAGGGACAGGAGCCCAAGGGGTGAAACACTTGATTGGGGATCACGGTTGCGTTCTCTGTTAAAGAAGGAAAAGGTGAGAACCGGTGGGTTTATTTCAAGAGATGCCTTTTTTCTTTCAACGGCTTTTTTCTCCTCAATAATTAAAGCCTCCTTATGCATGCAAAATAAGTGTGCAAAACCACATTTTGCTGGCTGGGTGCACACATTATGTTGAAAACATCTACAGGTAGACACCTCATTCACTGGAACCATACTGCTTACTAAACTTGTTTTCCTGTCCCGCTGAAATTTCTGAGCTGGGCAGCCTTATAATTTAATTATAATGTGGGTCCTCGGTGATCTCTGAGCTTGTTTTCTTGCAGATGTTTCATTACCAAACTAAGTATCGTCATCAGTGCTAAGGGAGTAGAGTTTGCTCCCTTAATAACACTGGTGATGTTACCTAGTTTGGTAATGAAACGTCTGCAAGAAAACCACACAAGTTCAGAGACCACCAAGGACCCCATAGTTCAGCCCTGAATGACAAATATTCCCTTCTATCAGATTGATTATATAAAGTCATGTTAAAGAAAGCTTTTCTTTCATCCACGCAAGACATCATTTCTGAAAGAATGTCACTGGGGCAACACGTTGCAACCAAAGCTAAAATAATCACACCCTCTCCTGATTCTAGCTACAGTACGAAACCCATGAAAGTCAAAATACAGCCAGAAGGAATCAAATACCTTCTATTTTTCCGGTTAGGTTTCCTGAAGATGTATTAGCATATATTTCTGCTTGGATTAATAGACGGGCCATCAGCGTTGTCCCTTGACATGCTGAGACCTGCAAACTTTGAAGCAAGCACAGGGCCTCCACGCAGCAATCGGTGATGTTTGGGGCACACAGTTGAAGGTGTCTGGTCAAGGACACCGTCACCCTGGAAACGTTCTAAAATGCAAAATATGAGTTAGCAATTAACCGAGGAAGATTTATGATTTAGATGGTGACTATGAGTATTAAGCCCAAGTCAGGGATAAAAACAGCAATATTTTATTTGGGTCCTTATTTTCTGCAATGGTTAAGAAAAAAATATGTCAAAGGAGGGAATCTAGGTCAAGTATTTATGAAAAGAGATTCACAGGGGATACTTCAGAAGTTGATCTAAGGTTTTTTTATTGGCAAAGATAAGAAGAGAATCACTTTTTCTACTCACCCCTTGATGTGTGACTTGCAAACTCCAGTCATCTGTTCTGTTTCTACCACTACAGTCGGAAAGGGGTAACATTCCTAGAAGAGAGCAGAGAACGTTACCATATTCAATGAATCAAGGACACACATTCAATTTCACAGCTACTAGGATTGTTGGCCGAGCAGGTATAAAAATAGCCAGAAAAATAACTGAAGCCTGGGAAATGGACCCCTTGTCAATCAACAGCTTATCAGGTGCTCAGGGTCCAAGGACTCCGCAGCCACAAGGAAACAACAACCAACTATTTAAATAGTCCTCAACATCCAAATCAACAACTAAAAAGCCACAACCAACCAGGCACCACATAAATATGATGCATAGAATAGCCCAAATCACACATTCTGAAAAGTTCCCTCAAGATGGACTACAGTACAAGTCTGAAAGCTCAGAAAACTAAACTTCTGGTCCCGTTGACTGACCCAGATTGGATCCTGCATTATCGTAAATATTATCATCTCTTAAGGATCATTCCTGCTAGGTACAGTAAGGCTAATTCATTTTGCAAAGGAGGAAACAATTTCTTCCCCATGGTCTTTGGAGTTCCAGAGCTTCCTGGGATCATCCCCAAAAATAGTTTCGAAGGATGCTTACCTGTTTCATCATCTGCCACAGCGAGAGAGAAAGTATCTGCATGGCTGTTGATCAAAGAAGCAGTGACCATTGTCCCAGACATGTAGATAAACGAAGGCTGGAAATCTAAACAGGGAAATCAGTATCATTCTTTGAGACATATCGATATCACTCATTAAATCTTTGCAAAACCTTTTCTCCCTGAAGTGGCCTTGCTCAGTTTCTTTCATCATTTTATTTCATCCTCAGTAAAAGTTAAGGAAATCTAGGGAACCATAAGAGATTTTGGAAACTGTGTTTTTGTGTCATCATTCAGAGCTGCAAAGAATGAAGTTAAAAGAGGCAGGGAGTTGCTAACACCAATGTTTTTGAGCACACACAACTTGTTGTAATTTATTGAAGGCTTTGGATGTTGTTGATGCTGTTGTCCCTTCAAGGACAGTCTGAACGAAACCCAATGACAGGAATTTTTTTTAAAAAAGCACTACTTCACAAACTCTCTTAGTCATGTTCCCTAAAAGACATAGCCATGATGGCACAAGCTAAACTTTGTCAGTGTGTATGCACGCTGGATGTCTACCTTTTGGGGGCTTAGCATGTTTATTATACCAACTCAGCCCCCTGTTTAGCTCAGAAAGCTGTGTATTGTACAATTCCAGAACACTGGTTCATTAGGACCATGTGAACCTGAGTATGAAGGGATGGATAGATGGATGGATGGAAGAGAAGATAGATTGGAAACAAGGCAGGGAAATGGGAGGGAGGGAGATGAAGGGAGGAAAGGAAGAAGGAAGGAAGAAGAGATAGGTTGGGGA